ACATTAGTGATAGGCAAGTGTACATTTGTAGGAGGCAGATTAACCAAGTGAAAACATCTATTTGCTCTGAGCAGCCCTGTTTAATTCCCCCTCCTCTGTTTGTCTTTTCCCATATTCAGCACTTAAATACAGCATTGTGCCATTAGACGTCCAATCTTGCGTTCGTCCCTTACTGATACACAACATTAATCACCAATTAGCTTGTCCTGCGACTGGCCACCTCTCTCATTAGAATATGATAGAATATAATGGCAGTTAATGACGCTTAGGAAATATAATTAAATGAGTGAGCTGTAGAACATGTGGAGGCGCCGTGGTGCATCAATCAAAGACGACCCTGTCAATCGGCCGCTCGTGGTCAGGACGGGCCTGTGGTGTGTATATGTGTGAATGTGTGTGTGTATGTGTGTGTCTTTGTGTGTGTGTCCCGAAACCACTGGCCTCTATCATGACCTCATTAGGGAGAAATGAAGGGTGGACGTGTCCCCATCACACGATACCACTGGTGCTTCAAAGTGTGAATGACATTAATATCTGACTGTCGGAACGTCGCACTGTCTGTAGATGGAAAAAAGACTCTGGATCCAGCTCTAATTAGCACGTGAGTAAATGGAATAAATCTATAATATTCATGAATTTGTCTTTATAATTAAAGAGAGGGAGACTCTTAGGTTTTGGATGCATTTCAGTCAGATTTTGCTGTTTGGTTTTTGTGTTTTCAAAGCAGTAATAGAGATCAGTGGCGCTCAGCTCAACAAGTTAGCACAATAAAATTACATGAGTGCTCTAACCATTTAAAGGGCCCATATTGCACTATGTTCTGATTTATGTTAATGTTGCTTCCTCATCAAAAACATACCCGGAGTTGTGGTTTTCTTTTCATTCTTACATCCTGCATCCTGGCTGAGTTCTTCTCTAAAACTGAAAACACTTTGTGATGTCATGTGATAATACAGGAAGCGCTTCACTGTGTTTTTAAACTTCATATACCTTGACTCTTTTGATAATTTCAGCTCTGGAATTTCCAATCTTTACTGAACAATTAATAAAACATTAATAAAACAAAACATAACACCAGGTATGTTTTTGAGGAGGTAACAACATTATAACATGGCGTAAGGCTCACATTTTGTGTAATATAGGATCTTTAAAGGCACTGTATCTGATTTTTACCATGTTACTCAAAACAGAGCTAGTTCATTGTTTGCAGTGGTCTTGAAGTTATTTTTCAGGCATTTTGAGCATCACTGCAATGAGCTGATAAGCACATTTCACAACTTTCAGAAGTCAAAGTAGAGTTTAGCCACGGTATTGCTAACAACAACTAGCAGTATTACTTCCTGTTTCGCTGCATAATAAGATGGTCTCATTTCGCTTTTACAATATATACCTTTACTTGGGCAAGACACATTTTAGGCTACTTTATTACATAAAATGAATTGGGTACAGCCCCTTTAACAAAAGCACATACAAGTGAGTGGTTAGTGATTCAACATGAATAAAGAGGTTGTGGGTCCAATCCCCAGTTACAGTTATCTTTGCTGTGTTATATGATAGTTTTCTGGTGAGAATGCATGTGGGTTTCCTCAGGCACATAGTCTATCTTGACTATCACTTGAAAGCATAGTCAGGAGTAAAAACTACAACTAATACCAAAGGGATCACTGTTACCACATTCTTGAGAAACGTCTGCCTCTAATAATCACCTATCTGAAGTAAAACTTGTGATCTATCTTACATTCCCTTAAGTAGGTGTACAAAAATCATTATGATACCAAATTTGGTGATTCAGTATCATTGTCATGGGCTGCTGTATTGATGTATTGGCAAGAGTATTTTTAATTATCTTTTAGCATTTTTTTTTTTTTTTTCCAGAACAGCTCTACAACTTTGATGCTCATTTAGTGGGAGTAAACTTGTTTGTGCAATATACTTGACATATTCACTGTTTTGATGATTAAAATAGGTGTATTTCATATTCACTTAGCATAAGTAGTTGTTTAACAAAGAAATATTGTTGTTAAAATGTATTTGGCAACATATCACAAAATAGCATGTGCAGTTTATTGATCTTTGTATCAATATACGCAATCTTCGTATTGCCATTTTGTGATAATATAGTATTAGAAGCCATGTATTGAACATCGTATCAAATCATGAGGGACCCTATGATGCCCAGCCCTACCCATAAGATTCACACCACTGTGCTTTCCCACTGTCATCTTAGGCGGAGAGGGGAAAACACTTACCTCTTGTCTTTTTTTTTCAGTAGAACAATAAAGATAAGTGTTCGACATGCTTGCTTAACATGCGCAGCTCCCTGGCCTCCTCCCCTCTCTCCTCTGAGTCTCTGTGCTGAAATCCATCTCTCTATCTCTATATCTCTGTAACATCCATTACATACCCCAGCCCCTCACCTCCCCACTCATTAGAGCAACGCACAGTAAATTAGCAGCAGCAATTACAGCCAGTATAAAGCATAGGCTGGGTGTGACAGGTAGCACACAGATCATAGACAGACAGCCGCAGTCTCGGGGATAATTACTGTGGGAAACGACCACACGCACATTTTCAATACGCCTCCACCAGAGAGCAGCGCGCCCTGCTCTGTCTTCCTGACACAAACCTCCATGCAGATGTAAGAACTGTGCACCTGCAAACTCACATGAAGAAGAAGAAGAGGAGCTGGTGTTGTGCCAGTTTTAAAGAGGAACCCAATGGAAGTTGAGAGGAACTATTGTGTGTAATATTATTGCTACCTGACAAAAAGAAGTCCTTCCTGTGCCCTATGATGCGCTGTGTATTCTGGTGTCTGTCAGGGGTGCTGTTAGTTATTTGTGTTTTCATTTGAGGAAAGCTACCATCTCACAGATTTTAGAATTTTCATTTTGTCTAATATTAAACCAATGGAAATTTTAAGATGCTAAATACTAAACTTCAAAAATATGCTGACTCCATAGTGTGATAAATACAGATATAGTGACCAAGCATCCTTTTTTAATATTCCTTTAGTTAATGCAGCTTTATGGAGAAGAACATTTGAAATAAACATTAACAATGAAAATTAACATTAAATAAATCAGAAAAACTTAAAATCTTAATTATCTGCTTAAGATTATCATAAAATATTAAAATTGAAAATGTGAGATAATTTTTTATGGTCAACATTTAATCATTTTGAGTGTATCCTCTTAGTCTTCAGTGTATTCCTGTTTGGGACTGCTACACAGTAGGGCATACTGGCCAGTGTTATGAAGTGAAAGCAAATTTCGAAGCATAACTGGGCTAATTGGGAAATCCTGGCCCATATTCAGCTCTCTGTCATATTGACTGAATTTATTTGTAGTGCACTTTGCTGGGTTTAAACCTAATGGGTTGTATGACTTTTATGGTGTAGATTCATTTCACGTTTTGACCTAAAAACTTATGTTCTTACCCTTGTACTTCATAGCGATACTTTTTGAAAACCATTTACAACCCAGTATACTTATGATTGAAAACACAGTACTACACATGCCCTAAAACCATACAATTTCACTATATATAGGCCCTGAGTACATATCTGGAGTGGATACCTACTGTGGCACAACATGGGGAAAGAAACCTACCTCCCATTGCAATACATCTCTGTGTGATGTCCGACTATTTTCTAATATAGCGTATTATTAATATTCATTCCACCTCTGCTTGTCTTGTGCTCACTGTCTAGCTCTGAGTACCCCCCTCTCTCCTCTCCTCTCTCCTTTTCCATTCCTTTCCCTTTTTTATGAGGCATCCCCAGGGGGACTCCTGTTTTTCTTTCAAATACGCCTCTCTCTGGCTTCCTCTTCATGTGTCCGCGCTGAGGAGGAGGGAGGAGAGTAGGATAGTGCTGGAATATGTGCATTAATATGTTTCATTAGGAGAATAGTAGCACAGAGGCACCAGAACAGCACCCCACTTGATGTTGGTGAAGCCTCTCTGTCCGCCTGTATTACTCCAGGAATAGACCCGTCTTTAATGCAAGTTCCCTGGAGGGTCCACTGGCTCCAGGCTGTCCCATTGTCCTCCTCCCACACTGACCAGTCTATCGTGGCTGAAAAGATGCTGGAAATAAAGAGCAAAATGGCTTCACCTTTTGTCTATGTGTTTTTATGATTTATGTGTGTGTCTGTACTACACGCTGCCATAGCTCCAGAAAGTGGGAAGTCCCAGGAGCCACGCAAGGTGCACAACACGGCTGCGGTGCTTGGCTCGCTAATCAAAAACATTAGCCTCCAGGACTCATTTTCCCAAGCACTGAGTGTGTAACCTCCATAATTCAATATCCCACCTCTTACTGCTAAATCGCCAGCACTACAACCCACTTTAGTCTTTGTCAGCAAACTATCAACTCTGTTATTAGATATATGGGGCCGAACACGCTGTTATGAACCTATGGGCAATTAAGACGCCGGCATTCACACACAGCTGACTGTTTACAAGGCCTTATTTCATCTGTACCTCCCGGTGGCTCTCGCTGGTCCCTCGCGGCGTTTACGGATGCCTTGTTACCGTGGAGACCCTGAACACTTTGAGGTCAGCAGAAACCCGGGATATGCTTTTTTTTTTTTTCTTTACATAAGCTAATCCAATCACATGGCCCCTAAATTAGATATGCAAAAAATAAAAAAGAAATTAATTTTCTGCTGATGACCGGCTATGCAAATGATGACTCAATTATGGTGTGCTGGTGCGTTTGCAATTAATAACCTTGGAATCATCATTAACTAATATGTTTAGGAGGAAACTTGTCAGGCTAACCATGTTCACCATGCCATCAGTAATGCATTAATGAATTAGATTCATTAGAGAGTAGGGAGGCCTGTTTCTGACCTGGCGCATGTCTATTTTTTAGCACACGCCTGTCAGCTCCCCACTAATGACATTTAGTATCAACAAAGACACAGCAGTACATGGAGAGCCCTGCATTTCAGAGCCAAACTAAACACATTTGCATGGACACAATGACAGCTGACACAGTCACAGACAAGAGGTAACTTTAATTCAACATTGTGAGAGTCCAAAAGTTATCTTACAGCTCAAATTTCATCAAAAACAATAACAATCTATACAGTAGATTTTTTCTTCCCTTATATCATCGAGCTGTTCAGTGTATTTGCAGTCAAAGACAAAACAGAGGAAAAATAGACACCAGCTATTTGGTTTGCATCTTTTTTGTTTGTTACCTAAGTACAAAACTTCATCACCCATTTCCAATATTCATAATCAGGATGGACCTTTACTTCGCCTTTACAAAGAAGCCATTGTATGACAACAGACCTCTGCAGTTCATTTGAAACGGATACTGTGCAGCCCCTCCCTCACCTCTCCTCTATGCCCTGTCCCGCACCAGCACCAGTGCCCCAAAAACACTTGTCTGTCAGCGGGCGCCTCTGTTAAAACCCTCCATTCTGGCCACTTAACAAAACCAGGCTTCAGTAAAAAGAAAAGCAAGAGAAAAGCCCTATTCTGTGTATGGTAACAGATTCAAGACACACAAAAGCTGTAGAGGAGTGGCTGACAGCGCGATCAGCTAACTTTCATGCCTGCACACTTGTTCACAAAGGTTGTAATGAAACTGTATCGTTACACTAAATAGCAGAAGTGAGTATGAGTTACCTTTAACTGAGAGAAATAGACCTCCTGCTAACTGTACATTGCTAAACCATATATTTTTTTTACATCTATTTGAGCAATGTGGTTTTTTAGTGAGTAGGTCACACACAAAAAATGTTTTAGCTAAAAATTAAAACTCTGGTGCCACATTTAAAAAAAAAATCTTCAAAAATAGTTCACTGTTTTGGGTAAAAAATACATAAATAAACGTATGTGCATAAGTATTGTGCAACATTCAAAAATGATCTGCATCTTGTTAGAATTCTTTTTTCCCCCTTTTCGTTTAACTGTAATTTTTCACTGAAGTAACAATACTTAAGTACAATTTTCTCTACCCACTTCTGCTAAATAGGATTGGTGTCTTTCGTTTTAACTTTTCTTGAATTGTGCTGCCCTATATTACATTTATCTGTTGCTATGTTGATTGTGAACAATAAAAAAAGGCCAAAAAAAAGGCAAAAAAAAAAAAGCTACATAATGGCTACAAAACTGCGAGACACTGTGTAGACTCGTCCTTCAAAGTCAAAGAGTCTTACGAAGGGCTGATAGTTGAATTATGGCTCTTTGTATTCTTAGTCTGGCTTTTTCGAAACCACCAAACAAAGTTGAGAGTACGTTTTTGTGCTTGTCTGTCCCCCTCAAAGTTTCCCATGAATTCCTTTTGTGGCAATAGACAATTGTGGTGACGGGTAGAAAACTGTACACATGATTGAATGAAAGAATGGGTTTTGCATTGTTAAGGCATCTAGACTGCTGGTACAGATTACAGTGACAGAAATGAAAAAGAAATTTATAGATACAGCATGTTAGCAGGCATAAATAACAAGAAAAGAAAGTACAGGACGGATGGGAAGCAACGAAAAATAAGGGAAAAAGTAACATTGCATTTTCATAAGTCCTCTTGGTTTGCACACAAAATAAAAAGTGTCACTCAGGAGAAGAACCCATGCATATTATCATTATCAAAGCCTCAAACCAAAAGATATAAATTTACAATATATATTAATGTGTGTATATATTCATTAAAAAAAACTACTTCAACCAAATACTCTGAGTAAGATGCTACTTTTTGCCATACAATAAACATTTGGTAAAAGAACATAAAACTGAAAGGGTTTATTAACTTACAAATCATACAAAAATAGACAATGGATTTTTGAGTCAACAAAATGGAAGCGTGGTACATACAAAAACAAAATGGTAAAAAAGTCACATTTAAATAGAATGAAACGCAAAACACAATGACATGTGTCCACTTCACACAACACAAAACAGGCGTGAGAGGCAATTTACAAATACAAGGATAAATACAGTATTTATAGGATATTTTACAGAAAAAACCCTTTTGTATCCAAATGTTTCTCATGTTTCGCAGATATGAGATTTGACAACACACAGTAAATCTATCATCTGTACTGAGAAGCTGCCTTAAGACATTTTACATTTCAAACTAGAGCTATTGCAAAAAAGAAAGAAAACCCAAAAGATTTGTATATACAAAAATATATCACATATATCACACTTTTATTCTAATTTGATATTCGCTAGACTGCTTTCAGTACAGTGCTGGCTGGACGCACACATCCTCTGGGCTTTTCAAGTCTTTTTTCTAAAATCTCTTAAAAACTGAACAAAAAGTTAAAGCTGCACTGTGTAACTTTTCTGGTGGAGGGCCTGTCAAACACTTTTCTCCATGGAGATGTTATTGCTTTGTCTAGATAGTATAGTATTAAACTGTTCGAGTATCATGAAGACCAAACCAAACCAAGTTACAGGTCAGATTTCTCTCATGATGCCTATTTTTCTAGATATTTTTTGCTATAAAACCATCTGTAATTTAATAAATGTAAGGTAGAGCTGTTAAATGTCATACTGTGGAACATTCCAGCAATGACATATCCATAGCATATCCAAGCAGGTGATGGACCGCAAACCAAAAATTTACATAGTGCACCTTTAAAAAAAAAAAGAAAAAGATAAAGAGATAAATTTGGCTAATTTGAAATGACAAGCAAAAAAGCATATTGCAAACAGCTCAATCCTCACAGTTTTTTATTAAAAGTCAAACGAACAAACAAAGCCAAACCACCAGTAACAACATAACCAAGGCCTGATGTTGAAATCGTGGGTTGGACTTGAGGGAGAAATAGCAGCGTAGAGTTGAACGTTGATTTGATCCTTTGTGTTTTTGTTGACCTTGATTCCACTCGCGTTTTGTTCTGTGGTTTCAGCTCAGACTTCTATTGTGAGATGTTACGTAAACTTCATTTTCAAACTCCTCTTGTTGTTTGTGTGAGTCGTGGATGGCGAGACGGTGTGGGGCCTCTGGTAATCAAACCCAAAGCTTACATTTTAAACAATAACAGATAAATAAATGCTCTTTTTCATGAGGTCGGTGTCACTCCTTGGACAAACTATCAGTCTCTACACACCCCATCACACGGTGTCGGACAAGCTACACTAAATCAAAGTAAGATCATAAAGTCACTATAGTCCCGCTGTGTGTCTTTCCCATTTCGCAAAATCCCAAATGGAAAAGCCTGAGTTTGAGGAGTTTTTTTTGACGCTTTCTCCGAGTGCGAACATTTGACTGGCCAGGCTCCGTCACCATGTCAGTTTTTCCTTTCAGCATTCCCAAATCCCGGATCCTCTACATGGGCGGGACGATCATCCCCGGAATCGCTGTTTGTGGGAAAAGAGGGGGAGGAGGAAGAGATGGGAAAAAGGAGAAATTGAGAGAGAGAAAGAGAGAGGTCAGTCATGTGATCGCTGTGTTATATCTGTCATCACAACAGTCCAATAACAAATGTACTCGGGCATCTGCTGAACAAAGACGAAACGCTCATTATCTCACCGTACGAAGGCCTCCAAATCAAAACATTTCAACTTTTTTTTTTTTTTTACAAGCTGTCTGAATAGTTCCACGCAAGAGCTGACACTGTTAATTGTTAGCAGTTACGCAGCCTGTTGAGCGAGAACACACTGATGTGGGATGACAGATGAAGTTATAGACTCACACTTGAAAAAAAAAAAAAAAAAAGATTTGAGATTTTCACCGGGCGCTACATACCCCCCCTTTTTTTTTCTTTTTTTACACTTTGATATCTGGCGTACTCCTGTATATCTCCACCTTCCCACCTCCTACCTCTCTCTCATGAGCCATCACCAGAAGGAATTTTTCATATAACTTATTGGCTCCCTATTGATCCTTCTCCGTCTTCAATCCACTAATTCCCTGGTTATTTCCTAAGTGTCTCCGGCTTGTTGGGATTAACTGTGAGTGTGTGCGTGTGTGTGTGCGTATAGGAGAGGTGTGCAGTGTCCATTGGCCTGGGTCGCGGTGGTCAGTGATCATCGACGCCGACAGAGGAAGTGAGGAAGTGCTTAGCTTTGGCTTGTGATAAAGATTCCCATCCATCAATTTTCCCTTCTCATCGCCATACAACATCCTGACAGAGAATCTGAACCCCCCCCTCTCCTATATTATCCCATGCTCTAGAAAAGACAGGAAGCAGGAAGTGAAAACAGGAAATAAGAGCCATGTGGTGGGGAGCAAGTCAAGAGGTGGCTTTTTTTTTTTTCACAGTGAAATTCTGCTAAGATCCAGTTAGCATACCTGTCCCACAGCACTAAATTTAACCAAAGTATATTTCCTTAAACATTGATCTGTAAAGGTATAATTATTTATTTGTCTTTATTAAATGAAATACATATGTCATTATGATGTTTTTAGGTCAAGTAATCTAGATTCAGATTCTTTTTTTTTTTTTTCACATTGCAACATCAACCTGACCTGGGACTACCGGTGAAAATTTGCATGTTTTCCTATAACCTGGTAGAAGACTTCTTTCATTCTTTGGTTAATGGAGCATACACGGCCGTTGTACAAATACAATCATACCATATAAATGTAATCCTGACCCTAATCTGACAGTCTAGTATGTTTTTATCAAAAAATAAACATAACATAGCCATCAGTGCAAAGTGGCTGTAGTCCAGCGTAAGTGGAGCAATCAGGAGAGGTGACAAAAAAAAAAAAAAAAAAGAAGAGGGGAAGAGGTGGAGGGTGGGTAGGGTGGAATGAGTGGTTTATAGAAGACATTTTATGCTTTTTCTGGTATTTAGTGATGACCTATAACATGGACCATTATTTTATTTTCTCTGTAAACTGCTAAAATGATCTAAAATGCATTTTACAATAAAGGTCACATCTAATTTCAAGTGTTTCTATTTCCAGAATGGTTATGCAAGATGTCACATGGTTAAAAAGCTTATACAAGTTTCTTTTTTTTTTTTTTCCATAATATGTCTTCTTTTAACAAATGTGATAGAGTGAACTGAAATGAAAGAGAGAAAAAAGAGTAAACATACTTCAGGAGAAGGCCAGGCCCTGCAGAGAGCTGGCTGAGGAGTACTTGCTAGAGTCCACAAAAGACTGATCTAAAGTGAGGCAGGAAAAGAAGAGACCAAACAGGAAGTGAGGAGGAAGGAGTGAGGGAGAGAGGGCAGAAAAGAGGAAAGGAAGGGTGAGAATTAATATTTAAAGAAGAGACAGCTACATGCTACTAGTAGTTTTAAACAAAAGGAATTGTCCTTCTAATGGTCAAATGTCACCAAACACTATAAAGAATATCAAGATCAGTTTACAGTATTTGAAACCATAAATGTTATGCTAATTTTCACAGGTTTTCACTTCCTTTATTTAAATTAACAATACTAACAGTAGCCTGATAATTCAGTGTAAACAGTAATAGGCAGAATTAATACAACAATTAATTTTAATGTTTTTTATTTATTAATTTTATCTAAATTTATTTTTTCTTTTTTACATAAATATATTCAGATGGGATTTAAAAAAAAGCATTTGTTATATGCTTAAAAGGGCTCATAAATATATTGTAAATTGTTTTATTTCAAGTCTGACACAAACGTGATGGACTGTAAAATTAACTTACACAAAAATATATATTTTCTTTATACCGTTATTTGACAGATTAGACTAGATGTTTCGGTTCATTTTGTTCTGTTCAGTTTAAATTTTAGACAGTACACTTGATATTATAATTTACCATATCACTAGAACATAAATTGTGATGACATATCACAATCCCATCTCTAGTAACAGTTGAGTGTTTATTTATAAATTTTTTTATACCTTGCAGGCCATTGCCGTTGGCGCTGGTGCACGTGGGTGGAGGGGAGTTTTGGGGTCTGACGACAGGGGCGAACGCGCTCTTCTGCTTGACCGCGGCGGACACCATGTTTGCCGGGGAGAAGGAGAAGATCCCGGAGGAGCTGCTGCAGTTCGAAGGCAGACTGGTGGACGACGCCATGGTAGGACTAGACGGGACAACTGAAGGGACAAGGGGCAGGGACAAGGGGTGGGGGGGAGTGAGAGGGGTGTGAGGGGGTGAGAGGGGGGTTAGAGAGAGGGGCGAGGGCACAGGACAGGCAGACGGGACGAACAGAAAGGGACTGGTCAATGGACAATGGTAGGAGGGTTAACATTTTGGACTGAAATCATCTGGCTCGTACTTTTTTATGCAACCTTTTTGTTTTGTGAAAATCACTTGGCTCAGAGATAACTCCGGCTCAGATAGAAAATATGTTTAGGAACAGAAAACTCCAAAAACAGCCCATAGCATTGTTTCTTGGGCATCCCGTCAGATAGACCCGTTTTGATGAGTCATCTGTGCTAAAGGGGGTGCAGTAGGTTCACAAACACCTCTCTATGAAACAGTAATTTGTTTTATGGGAATTCTGCTAATACAGCTTTAGTGGATCACAGTTGAAAGAAAGCGTAGTGTTTTTGTAATAAATTAAATAGACAGCCCGGAAAATCTGTTGCTCTGTTTACATCTGTTCTCCAGGATTAAAATTTTTGGTGGGTTATAAAACTAAAATCACACGAAAATATTTTTGTTTTTGGTCTTGTTGCAGATAATCCTCACGTCTCAAATGGTCCTGTGACATCATCCTTGTCTCGGTTTGTCTTTGTCTGCTAATACTCTAAGAGCATTTTCCCCCTCAGTGATTTTACAATCAGCCGTCGTCGTATTTCACCTGCCCCCTGATATCTGCGCCTGCCTTTATTGTTGTTATTATCCAACACTTAGCCTTTATGGCTCTTCCTGACAAATCCTCGCAATAAAGTCATAATCCATTTATGAAGGGGCCTAACTAATCAATTAATGAAAATTGGACCTACAAAGGCAGGCCGAGGGGCCATTGATTGAAAGTGTCTGTGTGGGGCCGATGAGCCTGTTAAAATACTTGTTAACACCCAGGAATCAAAGAGCTGAAATGGAATTGCTTCTCTAGCAATTAGTTTATTGATTTAATCAAGGGTCTTTAATGTAGAGGGTGAGTGTGTGCTGTGCGCAAGGGGGGCGCTAGGTGATATGTTCCCTCGGCCAATAAAGTGGGATTTGTGTTTGACTGTTCTTAGAGAAACAGATGAGCCAGCTGAACTTTTCCTGATGCTTCACTTTCACCACTCTTCAAATTGTGTTTACTGACAAAATCTTTATGTTCTCATAGCCATTAACTCAGCCCTTTGTTTCAGAGTTTAGGTCCTGTGCGTGGCAGCAAAAATATGACTTCCATAAAATTAGTGATACAGTCCATTCACCCTTATACAAATACTCTGTGAAAAATGCTCCAAACTATCCGTAATGATTGGTGATCTACAGTATATATGTTATTGGGTATCTGACTGTACAATAAAACAACAAATCACTTCTAATGCACAAACACAGACAACTTTGAGAGTGCCGACCCATAATGCACTACAGACCATGCATAATAGGTAGCTGTTGGTCTAACATTTGTCGCGTGTTGTGTTTACTCACTAGCATAGGGCGAGTTGCCTGCTGATCCATTGAGGAAGTTGGGCGAGGTGCCCAGTGTTGCCATGCCAGAGTTAGCGTAGCCATTCATGCTAGTGGAGACAGAGCTGTAGCTACTCTGCTGTGGAGTGGTGCTGGGGACATAACCGTGGGGGGACACACTGCTTGTACTCCTACTGAAACCTATGGAGCAGGAAGAGAGGAGAAAGAGAGAGAAAGAGAGGTTAGGGGATTAGCAGATGGTAGACAAAACAAACTCAGAAAGCACTACATGCACTGTTGCCAATTACCCTTTTCCTTACACGGTTAATGGTTGCACCAATGTAAGCCCAAAGTAAAAATCTTAGACAGCATATGGCGAGGGAGAGGGGGCAGAGCTTTGAACAGAGCAGAGGAGGAAGATACGAGGAGGAACTGTGTAGCGCAATCCGACTACTCAAACACCAAGTCGTTAACCTTGCTGGCTCCTCTTCAGAATTAGATATATTGATAAGGCAATTAACTGAAACAGGCCTGCGCTGACGAACTCTAATTTATAAAGAAGGGAAGCGGTATTTCTGACAGGAATTTGCTCTGTTTGACCACTCTGAAACACGATAAAATTAATGAAGTATAAATATTCGCTGACACTGGAATTTTTTTGGGTTTAACAAAGGGCTACACCTGAGGACACTCTATGAGTAACAGTAAGGAACAGCCAAGCAGTCAGTACAATGTATGTGGAGTATATGATCACTTGTGAAGATGATACATATTTCCACATGAAGTGTATTGGAAGTATTGAGACGCTGTTCCCTTGATAGGAGTGATGAATGAGCCCTGACTGCACCCACATCCCTCTCTGTCAGGCGGGGGCCGACCTCAGTCTAATATACACACCCCTAGGACCCACTCATCCCACTCTGTATCCTCCACTCTCCTCTCCTCCATCAGTCACTCTCTCACCTTGCACACACGTTCCCAGTATTCCCCAATTCCTCCTCCTTTTCTTCTTCACAATTCAAGTGTCCTCTTTTTAGGAGCGTCTTCTCTCTCTTTCTCTGTTCGTATCTTTTGCAAAATTTGTCATATGAAAAGTATAATCTCGGTTTCACTAGTACAGCGTATTCTATTCTTCTTTCTTGACTATTTGTCTTTTTCTTCTCACCCTGAAAATCTTCTTTCTACAAATGTATAGTTATTTGCAACAAAATTCAGCTACAGCTTAAAGGTGCACTGCGTAATATTTCTAGTGGAGGGTCTGCTACCTGCCTGTCTCCATGGAAATGTTACTGCTTTGTGTAAAATTTTCCACATTATAGATAAAACCAATGTCTCACAAGGGAGACAAGCAGGTTACAGCATTACACTACATTACAATTCAGATCTGTGGAGTCGCCCCTATTCACAGAAGCAATTATTGTATTTTTGAGCAATAGAAATACCTGTAATAAATAAATACTAGATGGATATGTTAATAATCATACCGGGGAACATTCCAGGCGAATAAATAATATTTCCATAGAGACAAGTAGGTAGTGGACCCTCCACCAGAAAAGTTGCGCAGTGCACCTTTAACAGCAGATGGATGCCCTTCCCTCGCAACCTCATTAGACCCAATCTGACCTATGACTCTTGCGGGCTGGACTGTAAACATTTGGACATGGAGTATTTGGACTTATTTAATCAATCCCACCTTTTCCCCAAGTAAACTAAACTGGTGTTTTACATTATATTAATTTGTGTAGTCAAAATGTTGTACTGTAAAAACATACAAATACTAAAAGTATGATTAAGAGCCTATTCATTTTTACAACTTTTTCATCCAAATAAAACCTTTTCAGTTTTATTTCTATTACTATTACCACAGGCCATAGAGACATAAAAATGATCATAAACTAGCTCATTTACAGAATAATAGTAACAGTTGTGTGCATATTATGACTTTATCTCCCCATTTCTCACCTTGGTTAGCGGTTTGTGCCACTTCTGACCCGGTGAAGGAGTTGACCATCATGCCCGCATGCACCGAACCACTGCCCAGACCCGTGAGCTGGTTGTGCCCCCGCGGGACCGTTGTATACAGGGCCTCCGCAATGTCTGCTGCTCGTTTCAAAATCATCTCCTGACAATGGCAAAAAGGAAGAAGAAAAAACAGCCTTGGTCAGCACTGTGGGGTAGAGACGAGCAGAGGACAGAGAAAATATGATGCAGCCAGCCTTTATGGCCTCACCAGTATGTAAGATGTCTACTAGTGATACTGTAAACCTAGCAGGCTGAGTGGATTTTATCAGTGGTCACTGGGAGAGCTGGGATTGCTTCCAGTAAATGGAGGCAGGACTCATTAACAGTCTCATCAAATGTTTGGCCTGACGCTGCCTCTCCAGTTTCCATCCTGCGTGCTCAGAAACTGTTTTAATACAGCTTCTACATCAGTGGATGGATTAGTTACATAAAAAAACAGTTTAGAAGACTTTTCAAAGTTGTTGTTTAGTGTCTCATGAAACAAGATGGGCATGTTACCTGGTCAGTGCTTGATTTTGTCTAATCTCTGAAACTAAGCGTGTTTACTGCTTGGATGTGAGACCACTGGGAATACCACGTGATGCAGTGTGTGTGTGTAGGTGTAGTAGGTGTAGTGCCTACTGTTGTTGTGTCCTTAGGCAAGCCACTTCACCCCCCTTGACTCGTATAAAATTTATGTCGATTACATTTGAGTGCTGGTAATTTCCTTCAGTCTAGGGATAGATGTAGCAAGGAATTGTTAAGAGTAACTTTGGACATTTTATAAGACCAATGCATTAGTATATATTATTAATAAAATGATTAGGACGTCTTGAAGTGTTCTTTATTCTATACAGTGATTTCTAGCATATAGTAAGAAGTAGGATAGTACAGTATCTATAGTCACTAGATGATCTGAAAACTGTTGGGATCAAATTGATACATTAGCAGTTATGATATAGCAAGTATTTTAAGTTCTGAACTTAACAAAAACAGCTGTACAAATATGGCTTTCCAGTCAAATGAAGTTTAACTAATACTACGCTTATAGCCTCCAATGAAAAGGAGACTGGATACTAAAAAGCCTTTAATGTGCATTTCCTTACTCCCCATCTCATGTTGTTTTTATTATTAAGACTGCTGCAAGTTCAAAAAGTTCAAACTACAGAATGGTCACTGAGGACTAGCCTTGGCCTCCTTAGAGAATCTACCAGCAGTGCAATCCCCCCTCCTGTTCATTCTGTATTTATCACATCTCCTCCCATTGTACTTATTGAATAACAGGCTCTAACGTGTTTGTGCTTGTTTGGTGGGCCCTGGTGTTGCATCTGCACAGCGGGGGGCATCAGGACGGGTGGAGGAACTGCCTTTGATGCCAGCCACGGCAGTCCGAACAACAAACACATTTTTTACGGCAATATCGATGTTTCTGTCAACATTTACACACACATATCCCTGTAGTGTGCGTGCGTGGGCTTACCTGGTTGTTGTGAGGCATCCCGTACAAGGCTTCTACCAGGTCGGCCGCCCGCTTCAAAATCACCTCCTGGAATCATGCGCAAAAAAGAGAGGAGGATTGATCAGGAAGGTGCCAGTGCAAAGAGTTCAGTCACTTTTATTACATTGCACTTGTGGCGTTGTGCTGTGAATGCAAAAGAGGAAGAGGAGAAGAAGGAGGAAGACTGAGCAAGAGGGATGGTGCCTGTCCCGACTGTGTGTTAGCAGCAGGGGCAGTTCGAGGGGCGAGATAGTGTTATCAGTGAATAAAACATGAGACTATATCGCTCTATCAGTCAACCAACTTCTTACATCTTCTCCTCCCTCTACTGTCACGGCCGCATTGTGAATCTCCTCGCCATGATCAGACATCAATCTCATTTAACGCAAACACATCATCGACTGCACAACTGCCCTCGTCAACTGGAATGTCTGCTCCTCACCACGTAAGCCCCGAGGCTCATTTGACAAAAATAGACTTATTTTTAGATCGCTCAAATGGGGCAGGCTTGAAGTACAGGAATTTTGCAAAGCTGTTTGGAGCTTGGATGTCACTCACTGTGGTCATTTATGGATGGAAATTGACACGTGGAAATACATAGGCAATGATCAAACAATATACAGACAAAAGTGATGTGGGTAAGCCATGACAGCAATAGTAAAGCCGGTGGGTTACAGTGGACGCTGTAATTACATCAACAAATTTGATTTCATGAGGTTTTGATTGTTGCTGCGAGTAGTGGGTAGGTCATTGTTACCATGGATACATTGGCTCTGAGCTTGACTTAACGTTAAGTGGTGGCAAACTAAATTATAAAACAAACAAACAAACAAACAAACAAACAAAAAACATATTCTACTTGTTCAGGTGGACAGTTACAGCTACAGACCCTTACACTTTATTATCATTATTAGGTCCTAAACTGAGCCCTTTTTAGACCTGATATAGTCTTGGTTTGTCCCTGTTTTTGTTTAGTTCAGTTCTAGGCCAGGTTTACTTTCTGGTTTAGTCCTGGTTTAGATCTGGTGAACATACTATTATACACATCAATTAGACTTGATTCATTAAGGATCATTTAAAGTCACTTATGTACCTATTACATGCATGTTTTTGGACTTTGAAATATTGCTCTTTAGTCATTGACAGACCAGACCAAACTAAAACATACCCAAACTATACCTTCTAACTTTGTACTCCTGACTCTAAACCAACCTCAGAATCATGGTGCACTGCTTTTGCGTACTGATCCTGACAGGCTTCCCAGCTGCATTGCAAATATTTACAGTGGCAAACCAAAATGAACACTATAGACTGGCCTGGAGCACCTTTTGTGTTACCATCCCCTGCTAATGATCCGAGTGAAGTGCCTTGTATCTGCCTGGCGTTACAGATGTAGAACATAGTGCTGAGGTGAGCAGCTCAGAGCGGGGTTTCCCAGATCAAACATTTATCCGTTTGGTATCTCCGTTCATTCTCTTCCTCTGCCTTCCTCTCCTCTCTATTCTCTGTGACTGGGGGCGCACTTATATGGTAGTGATGATGTAGACACCTAGAGCCCTACCAAACCCTTTTTAAAACTTAATGTGCCGGGGCCAGGATATATGCTGGAGGCGCGACATCCAGAAAATTGCCGCCCCCCCCTCTCCCCTCTTACTCTCAACCTCCTCTCCTCCTTCTCTCCTCCTCCTCACTCTCTCACGCTGCGCTGCTATACCCTCCCGTGTGTCTCCCTCGCTGTGAACAAGCCCCGGAGCATGTGTGCGCTCTGTTCGGTGACACGCCGCCTTTCAATCAGACCTCATATGGCACACACACACATACATACACACACTCAAAGATGGCCGACCAGGACATGACGAGAGGGTCAGCAAAGCAATAAAGATTGTAGAGCGCTGTCCAAGGTGCTAAATTCACTCAATAATGGGAGCGCTGCCTCTGTGTTAACCTCCCATTACCAGCACTATCTAGCGGGGGGGAAGGCAGGAGGAAGAGAAGGGGTAGGAGACAGAGAGAAAGAGAGAAAGGGAAGAGGAAGAGAGAGAGTGGGTCCGGAGCAGGTGATTGAGAGACATACAGGCCCTAGGATGGTAACTGCTTCTTTAGTATGTATGCGCCGCTCCTCGTTTCCTTCCCTCACTGCTGTACCTTGACGCCCCATGCCTCCCAGGGATTGCTAGATAGATAGATGGATGGATGGATGGTTGGATGAGAGAGAGAGGGAGGGGTGAGTAGTTAGGGCTTAAACGGACCCCAGCTGGTACAGGACAGCACATGTAACGCTTTCTCTGGTACAGTATGGATATATTTAAGGTGAAATTGAAAATGGACTATAAATTAATGGGTTCTCGGTTGTCTTCCTTGGTAGAGCTCATGTGCTGTATAAGGGTCTGAATACACTTTGGTCCCATGTCCACTCAGTTATGTCATGCGTGTTTTAAATTTTCAGTGTTGTTTTGAGGTGTAGATAGAGTTTTCTGGTGAAAGTGTGGGAGGTCCGTACCTGTTCTTCTACATGTTCCACACATAGACAGTATAAAGAAGTGGACTAAGGGAGTGTAACATAGAGCAGGTTAACATTTTAAGGCCTAAATGACAAAGCTCACTGCAGCAGTTATAGAGAGAGGGGTGACAATTTCTCACTGTAAATTCAATTGTTAACAGAGCCGGAAGCATCTTCATGAACACTTAGGGTTAGCTCTGCCCATTTACACATACAGTCTATGGCTCCACAATATGGTATAAACTTATCTATCTTTCATTAACTCAATTACAGGCATTTTATTGGCCAAAAATACTTGGTGGAATGACTTGTCTGCATGAACATTCTCAGATCCACTACCAAAAAACTTGTCCCCCTTTAAAAAAAATATCTGTCAATCCAAAATAAAATAATTATAATAACTGAATGGGACAACTTTATTTTAGATGTATGAGTCATGTCTTTTTCATATGAAGAAGGCACAACTGTTCATATGAAACTAAAACATAAATACAGACTTTTCCAACAATGTTTTCCAAAAGTATCACTTGTAGTAATCCCACTGTACCAGCTGTACACAAGTCTTATCTTATGCTGTTTGTTAATAAATGTGGATGTAATTTCAGATTTGGAGGGATCTAAGGAGATTTGGTGTAGAGGAATGTTTGTTGTTGATCGTTGTTAATCAAATGAGATTAGCTAAAGACTCACCAACTTCTGCCTTGGCAAAGAGACCTGATGCAAAATATTTACAACTTGGCAAACTATGTCCCAACACATGGGGCCCAATCATGTCAAAAACTGAAGAGCGGAAAGAGGGTAGCATTATGTAGGCACAGAAATGCATAAGAGTAACTTTTTCCATCGAGTGAGTTTAATTGCAACACATTATTTAATTCACATGAAAAAAAATCTTATCTTACCTAAATCTTACTAAATCATTATGATACGACCTTTTCTTGCATCTCTCTTGTATTTGATTTTTTCAATGGTTCCAAAACTTTTAAGGTACACTATGTATCTTTAATGTTGGACCATTCGCCACCTACTTGTCTCCATGGAGATGTTATTACTTTGACTATAGAATGTTCCACAGTATGGCATTTGTGCATCTCCTTGGTGATAGGCAAGTGACACCACAAGGCCAAGTTGCAGGTCAGCTCTGTGATGAAGTGACCTTGCTCAAAGGAAGAATACATGTTTTTCCTAGTATTGTTCCTGAAATAAAACATCTGTAATAGAATACATGTGAGACAAGGCAGTTTAATGCCATACTATGGAATCTTTCAGACAAAGCAATGTCCATGAAGACAAGCAAGAGGAGGACCCCCAGCAGAATAATTAGGTGCACATGCAAATGTACTTTTATTTGCTGGAAATACAGCTTAAATGTTGTCCTTTCTCCCTCAGTTCACCTGTGACCACATTTCTTCTCTCTCTCATCTTTCTCATTTTCTCCATTAATCTCCTCTCCGGGTCCTGCGCTCTGTCCGTACCTATCAGTCTCTCGTTAGCCAAAGGATCTGTCCAGTGGCTAAACGCGATTAGGCAGCGCTCCAGAGTCGTTCTGATAAACAGATAAATGCGGTTAGCGTCGTGCTGCCTGCCTCGCGCTGCTGCTGTAAGAGGAGACCATTTCCTGGGCGCAGGGTCTCTTCCCGTAAAGTCAGCCTCACGGAGACGTCAACAGGAAGGGGAACCTGATCCAGAGCACAGGCCTGGTCACTCATTAGCCGGACACAGACCCCAGTTACACCATAGCTTCACCTGAACACCCCGCGCTCTCTTCGGCAACACTATTGAATAAACTATAGGTTGTGCTCAGGTGATGTGACAACTGGCTAAGATGTCGGGTGATTTCAATGGATGTATCAGTATTTACATTTTTACTGCTAATAATCACATTTTTGGAGTTTTTCCTTGCCAAGAAGGAGAGTCTAAGGACACGGGATGCTCTGGGACAGTTATCCATTTGCTTGTTTTCTGTGAATATTGGTTAAGTTTTTTTTTTTTTTTTTTGGCTATCCAAAAAAAAATTTTTTTAAATTTAACTACTACTACTACTTCTACTTCCATGCAATAACCATATTACAAATCATGCAACTCATTTTCAACAGCTCTGGCTACCAGCTGGGCAGCGAATCTTTACACACGTGTATAGGTTCATTAAGAAACCTCTTGTAAAAGGCTCTGGGAAACTGGAATACATTAAACTGTGGATCAATTCAATCTCGATTAAAAATTGACCGAAGGACTCCCAAACAAGACCCTGCCTATGGGTAGCGTAGCGGCAACTGGACATTTGTGTATACCGCAAGAATTTGGAACGGCACACCCCGACCCCTGGCACTGTCTAATGATTGAGGCCAACCGTGGAGAGAAATGTGGTCAACAAACTGTTATTACCTCAATAAAGGCACAAATCAATAGCTCCGAAATGAACAACCGGGCCTGCCAGCTAGCACTGTTCATTTAGAGCAGGGAGGAGACACCGACTTGAGGAGAGATGGATGGATTCAAAGATGTTTAACAGAAACAGGGGGTTGATAGGCTAAAGACCAGAGCGCTCCGGGACACAGTCTTGTACCCGGGGCAGACATGACACCCAAAGAGGACAAGTAATTTCTCTCTCTTCCTCTTGCATGTTGCTGGTCTCTCCATCTCTCCATGAACACTGGTGGTGACTTCCCCCCTGGCTGCTGCGGTTGTGTGTGGGTGCGTACTTGGGGCCTGTGCATGTGTGTGTATGTGTGTACGTGCTGGAAGTAATAAAGTCCACCCGGGGTTGACTTCGATCCACTGACCCAGCAGGAGGTAAGACTGGACAGCTATGATGGATCACCTAACCTGCTTCTGCCTCTCCACCAGCGCTCCCTCCTCTCCAACCTCCTTTTCCTCACGCTCTTTGCCAGTCCAAATGTCCTCGCACTCACCACGAAGGATGAATAGAGCTGCTTGTGCCTTCCGCTGAGCAAATAAAGTGTTTGTTTGGGCAGAAAATGACCATGAACATATGATAAAATGTTTAGCTGAACGCTGCACCGTGTCATTCGCAGTCCGTTCTACAATCCCTCCTCTGTGCGTGAGCCTATGTTGTCCTTGCATCTCCATATATAAACTGGTGAAACCTTAGATGTTGTCGATACATTCCAGTGTTGCAGAGGTGATGTCCAGTGAAGTGATTGCTCATGACAAACGGCATGAGAGTGAACACATAAGAGCAGTTGTTATAGATGCGCAAGGTACCTTGGGTAATCTCTCCTGGTCTCCCGGGTGTCTGGGGATGACCTTCTGTAACCTCTGGAAGCCGTAGTCTATGGTAGGCTCATTCAGCGCTGCATACAAACACAAGAGAGAGAGAGGAGAGAGGAGATTCATTAGTGTTACTGCTACATCTTATCAGTATTCAGGGTCGCCAATTCAAGCTGATTTAGGACATGAGGTACCGTTCACTCAGGACAATCACCTTTTAATAGCAGGAAAGACAAACAACCGTTCATCTTTGCATTTGAAAGGCAATTTAGATTGACCAATTTAACTAGTAATGTATTGCTGTGGACTCCATAGACTTAATATGAGAGGGACAAAACTGGAGCCTATGAAAATTCGATCAGCAATCTGGAAAGATGCTGACAAGGGTCTTACAACAGCCAAATTGGTTGGATATGGTTTTGTTTATGGTGAATTTTACAGCAAGTACACAAAGTCTGACAAGGAAGTCAAGCCAAAATCACCAAGCTGATGCAACCTAACAAAAAATATTAAACATGCATTTTCTCAAATCATTTTAACCTGACTAGCTTTTTTATGGTAAGGGACCATTTTGTGTTCAGTATGGAAATTTGCCCACTGCGTCCTACAGGGGAACCTACATTACAGTACCCACAGATCCACATATAGATCTGAATTTCGATTTGGCTAGGTAACATTATTTGCTTATCGTGTTGTATATTTGTGGAAAAAACTGAAGTACTCGGATTGAATGAAAGCCAAACTCCACAGACAAAGGCTCGATTGGCAATCAAACCTGTCCATATTGGGGTAACCAGAGCAAATAATTATTACTATCCACCAGCTATTCAGACACATATTAGACCAGATGCCCTCCCTTCCTTATTTACATCGTCTATATTACAGCTGGGTAAATGTGTAATTAACTGACTTATAAGTGATGCTCTGGAACACTAATAAACATCTGTCTATTAAAAATAATTGGTTTGAATCTTTAAGAAGGAGACACCATTTAATTCTGAAAGATAATCAAAGTTGTGGGGAAACAGCTCAATGAGAAAAGTCACTCTATATCGGAAATGCCAGAATTAAGCATCTCTCAAAGTGATTATTCTGTATTAAGCTAAACATGTTGAAAATGGTGGGTGTCCTCTATTCTATTAAGCCTGCCTCGTCTTTGTTTGCCTGTGATGTAATGAATCTCTCTCCATCGCATGCTTTGGCTCTTAATAAAAAGACTGTCAGGAATCAAGAGTTGCTTTCGTGTTTGCGAGACTGCACGTCTGTGTGTGTGTCCTGTGGTCTCATGTTGATCAGCGACTAATATAAGCAATTACAGAGCCTGGTTTCAATATAACAAAGGCCCTATCGCTCCGGGGAACAGGCTAAACACACAAGTACGGCACGCATACACCTACTCCATCTACAACAGACAGTCAGATCATGCAGGAGGAGAGGAAGAAGAGGAGGAGGAAAAGGAGGAGGAGGAGAAAAAAGCACTCTCGGCATGCTGTGGTCGCTGGCGTAATTGAATATGAGACGATTTAGCATGAATATTTAAACATTAGAATAAATACAATGAAGATCTGAGGCTGGTAGTACAAACACTTCAGCGGATGATGGTTGGGTAAGTGCTCTCGATATAATTCATTCCTAATGCACTCCAAGCTGCTCTTCCTCCCTCTTCAAGTCTCAGCGTTACTTGCCTTAGGAGTTAGGACTGTGAATACAATGAGGTTTACACAGGAAGTAATTGACTAAGTTTGTCAAACTGGACATTTTAAATATACTAGAAGGCTTAAATTGCACACAACACACCAAAACATGTTATACAGTTTATGTTCTCTGCATATTAATAGAAAATCTAATATAAAAAACAAATTTACCAAATATCCTCAGGTTAAAGCCAAAAACTAACTAATCAATTTATATAGTAGAAGGAAAAGTATGTACAATGTTCTTTAAGTTTGGGTTTACTTAAAGGTGCACAGCGTAACATTTCTTGAGGAGGGTCTACCACCTGCTTATCTCCATGGAAATATTACTATTGCTTAGTCTAGAATATTCCACAGTATAAATTAAAACTACAGAGAGATTATGAGACTACGTCACTTCGTGTTCTACTGAGCATGCAGAAAGAGTCCTGTCTTGTATCATGTCAGTGTCTTGTAGGATTTCAGTAGGTTTCAGGCTCTCCCAAGGGCGGGGCCAGTTGTGTCGATCAGGTATGAGTGAATGTCCGTCTACTGAAGTTTGAGCCATTTCTTTTTGTCATTTAAGCACTCACCTACATTTAATGCATGTGGGTTATTAAAACGTATTCCACTCACTAATGTTAATTTAGCATCATAACTTATTTTATCACAGCGATAACACGCGATAAACTGGTTTAGTGCGCTGAAAACAGCACTAGCTACTGTTGCAACTTCATGTTAACCACACAAACAGCTGCGCTTTCTGTACTGCACATCCGCTGTGTTGATAAACAAATAATCCGTCTATATCACAAAGGAGAAAAGCAGGTTACAGCACTATGCTGCATTACAAGTCAGATCTGGGAAGAGTCACCCCAATTCACAGAAGGAAACACCTGTAATGAATAAATGCTACATAGATATGTTTAATGTCATGCCATTCCAGGCAAAACAATGACGTCTCCATGGAAACAAGAAGGACCCTCCACCAAAAAGTTGCACAATGCACCTTTTCATGTACTGTCACTAAGTATCAATACTTGCAGTTACATTACTACAGCAAATCCTGCTCCTTGAAATAACTACTTACTATTTACATAACTAGCTACTATATATATATATATATATATATATATATATATATATATATATATATATATATATATATATATATATATATATATATATATATATATATGTATATATGTATATATATAAAATTAACTACTAATTGCTCATATAGACTTTTTTTTTTTTTTTTTTTACATATATTTAATTAACATGACAGGATTTATTTATTTTGTTCAATTTTTGTAGTTTACTAGTTGTATCTACTCTTGTCTGTTATGTACTGTGATATGCAGTACAAGGTCAAGGTAAAAGTTTTCCACTTATAGTCAATACCCATAAGTGAAACATAGCCTTAAGGTGTTGATAAATCTCTTGCTGTGTACATGCCCGCTATGCTTATATAAATTACTCAACCAAGCTCAGATGACCTATGTAATAAAACTGACTAATACACATTTACAGACACTTCCAAGGCTTTCAACAAATCATGTACAAAGTGAAGGTGCTGCATACTTTGCTTGTACAACTCATCATTTGTCTCTATTGTAATCATTTGGACAATCATTATGCGTTATGAGTACTGTTCGTATGTGTGTGTAGTGCCCGTCTGCTCCCCCCGTGGGTCACAGCTTGGCCATGTCCCGGGGGTTGGTGCCCTGTTCCCCTCACATCTGAGCAGCCAGGCCCCAGAAAACAGGCCCCTAGAGGCTATGAGTACAAGCTGTCCTGCTGGACCTGCACTGACTCCACTATGGCACTGCGGATCGCACACAACAGAAAAACACCACAGACACACACAGATCGCACATAACATAAAAACACAACGGATGCACACAGCTCGCACACAACATAAAGACACAACAAACACAAAGGGAGAAAGAAGTCAGTGACACTGTTTGGCAACACTGGTGGATTTGGACAGCTCTCCCAATGGACAGCTACAGTTTGTGCTCAACTAGAAGTAGTATACTTCAAAACATACGTGTGACAAAACATACTATGACAAAATACTGTAGTGAAAAAATAAAACAGGCAATGAGTGAAAAAGTACAATTTGACTCCTAGTTGTTACTCAGTTATAACTGTATATGTATTATAACTCTTATAAGCGTATAAGATTAGAAGTTATTGCTAGTTTTACAGTTATTTTTGCCATTACTAATATTAATACTATGACAAATGTTTACAACTGATGATTATCACTTTTATATTTAGAGGCCAAAATATTGTAATTAGTTTGATATTTTGTAAATCTGAAATTTCACACACCGGAGAACACCGGGTTCTGTGATTAGGCCAAATTACAGATCAGATCTGTGGAGAGATGGCCCCGCTCATAACAATAATGCAGGCATTTTGGGGCAATAAAACATCTGTAATTGAATAAATGAAAGACAGATATGTTTAATGCCAAACAGTGGAACATCAAAGCTTTAGCATCTCTTCAACAAGCAGGAAAAGTAAAACAAAAACAATTTAAAACAGGTCTTATTACAATGTAGTTCACCCCTGGTTTCCGTACACCATACAAAAGAATAAAAGAAAACAGTCCAGCTAAGAGGTGAACTGTGATGCCAACTAGAGTCTTGATTTCTCCTTATTATGGGCCAGCTGGTCGACTGATAAAATAAGCCCAAACAATGTGACGATCACATGCAACAAATAAAGTCTGAATTATTTCTGAGGACAAATATTTGACATTACTTCCTTCGTCTCTGATCTCACTAAAGCCTTAAGAAGGATTTGCCCTGGATTAGGCTCGCAGTTTGAGAAGGGATTCCGACAACATCCTTCTTTCCTTCTCCCAGGCTTTTGTTTTTTATGATGAATTTTTTATCAGTTCTCCACAACGCGCCAAATGAGCCTCAAGTGAACAATAGCATCAAAACCCTAAGACGTGCACAGATACCCCTTATAACAAATAAAGAGACAATTTTGGTAATTGAAGGAGGAAGCGATATCATTTTCAAGGACCATAAAGTTGAGGTAGAAGGATGTGGGGGACAGTCTGCGTCGCTAACTACCTGGATGTGGCTCTTTGGGGATTAAATTTGTATGGTTTATATCTATGCTCAATATGCTAGATTTCACGACAAGAATTATTGCATAAAATCTGCCTCGAAAAGGATGTAATGCCAATTAAGGCTGCATAATATAATAGACTAAATATGCAATTTCTGACAACCATAATGGATTTTATAATGAGAAGAAGTGATATTTGGACACATTTTAAAAACATGTATAAACAGTTTAGTTCAGTGTCTTGTTAATTTAATAAAATTATTAGGCTCTAGAAAAAGAGTAAATCAAAAACTAAAATCATAGTAAGACACGATAGG